CAAAAATTCGTGTGTTCTGACATTCGATCTCAACCTTCGTCCCGCAATGAGTTTTCTATCGGTTCCAATCGTTAAGAAATGGCATAATGTCCATGAAATAAAACATTATAAAGCAAATTAGTTCAAAACAACACGAATAAACGAGATCGTGCAACCGCAAACATCCAAGTCAGAGATATTATTTTAATGCAAAAACATTGTCATATTCAAACTAAGAAACTGTTTTACAAAATAGTTGTTTTAATTTTCTACAAAATTAGTGATATAAAGATATTGCGCTAATTAATAAACATTTATGTTACAAAATTCATTTATTATTATTTCTAATATTAAAAATTGCAATATGATCAAAATAGTGGAATATATTTAAGCGAAAAAAAATTTTAATTAAAATGAGTTATGAGTTATAATATATAAATTATAATATAAATTATGATGTGTGTATTCTACATATCCACGAGACAGATTAGTCGGGTGTACATAGCACAAGCGATTAGAGTAAAAATGATGTGTATTCTACATATCTATGAGACAGATTAAGCAAATCAAGTATTTTTATAAAAGTGACAAATGTTACGTTCTTTTTAAAAAAAAAAGAATATTACTATACGCTTGTGCTATGACAGCTGACGAGCGGAGCACGAGGCATGCTCCGGTCAGGGACACCACACTCCTCCCTAATCAACGACCTAATTAATTAATATATATTGAGCGCGAGATGCACCGACGCTAGCTCAGTAATATAGCTCATTAACATCGCTCGCTACTCGCTCGCTCATATCAACTATATCGATATACCGTACGTAACGCGCCCGACTATTATAATCGCGATTAAGTGAAAGTGTACTCCCGTTTGTACTCCCGTTCGGGAGTGTCTTATTTCGAGCGTGGATCCTAATCCTTTGGGCGTATAAATCCCTAAAGACCTCTTCCTTAGCGGCTAGAGGCACAACAAAACCAACATATTGTAATCAATCCTTGTCTCGATGCTAAATAGAACAAAATTATCGATAATGTCAGTTTTAATACTAAATTTCATTTGCCAAATATATATACCAAATAGCATTCTGACAGATGGAAAAATACTATGTAACAGATTATATTCATTATATTCATTAACGATACTAAAACATGCTTCATCTAACTCAAGCGATGCATCGAAACAAGAATTGATTACAATATGTTGGTTTGCAATAAACATGTTGCCACAGGCTTTGTCAAAATCTTATCAACAGCTTGGAAAATTCTTCTGGTTCCACTGAAAAATAAATGTATATTTATAAATTATTTTAAAAAATAAATAGAAAT